GAAACTCAATTAGTGTTTTTTTTTTTTTTTTTTGTATTAAACCTTTTGTGTGATGGACAATTATCTCATGCTGTTATATGAAACATACTAGTAAAAAATACAAATATATTAACTGCATCCACCTGCAAAAAAAGATTAAAAATAATGGAAGCTTTAATAATAAAAAAGAAAAGACCAACTTTTATCAATACTAACTACGAACAAGGCCCCAATGTGCTAACCGTATTCGGAAATTAAAACAGCCCTACTACACACTAAAACATACTCAGAATGCACACACTCAATTAAGCGGAAAATCGAATCATCCTTGATAAAGGCTAAAGGTGTAGCCGAAAGCGCTCGAAACTATAAAACATTTGGACAGTTCTTACACACCTTTTCCATAGTTATAATTTATTACATTGGAATCGTAATCACGATCCAGTTCATCAGACCTCCAAATTTGTAGGTCTGATGAAATGGATCGTGATTACGATTCCAATGTAATAAATTATGACCATGGAATATTAGTGTTTGAGCATTTTATATCATATTCTTACTCTGTCCTGGACATTGTTCTACCTGGATTCTATCCTCTTGGGAATTTATGTCCATATATATATATATATATATATATATATACTAATATATATATATATATATATATATATATATTGAATGTGTGTGTGTGTGTGTGTGTGTGTGTGTGTGTGTGTGTGTGTGTGCATATTTACGCAGCAAATTCTCTTTTGGGCATGTCTGATTAAATAAATTACAAAAATTATGTTTGCTTATTTTTAGCATAATCCTTTCATATTCACCAATATTTTTCCGTGTATTGCAATCAAATGATTCAAGAAATGCACTGTAACAGTGAAAATCACTTTTATTTCGCAAGTTGATCGCCTGATGATGATCTCAGAAAGAGGTAGAAAGTACATGGGAAATAAAATGATTTTCATTGTTACATTGCATTTCTTATCATAGTTTTATTTTTATTATTCCAGTACATTTCACTTTCTCGTATTATCGTAAATCAGACACGTTCCGCTACATTTCTGGCTTTGTCTGAAACGTCATATTTTCAATTTAAGATGCGTATAAAATATTTAAAATGCGCATATATTATTTATAAAATAATTTCTGGTGTTGTTTGGCTCGATGAAAGATGTCACTTACACGTTTATTTAAATCTCAACACGCTACAACAGTTCTCTCAAGAGGAATGACCTGTCACCCGTCAAAAGAACGATATATAAACATGTAAACAAATCTACAGTGCCCCTTCTAATTAGTATCATATTATGTTCAACAATGCAAAAATTCACTGACCTCCTAACTACAAAGGAAAAAAAACGATTAAAAATATTAGCGGCTCTTCACATCAAACGACTGCGGTTCACCATAACCATTTTTTCTTTTGACGAACATATGTGTAAATATCTTGAACCTGTAAGTTTAATGAGATGAGGTTATAATCTGTTTCACCACCGAAGGATGCGAACTCATATTCATTTCAAACTGCAGATCATTGACAATTTGAACGTTTCATCTGTTTGCTTTCTCAATAATGCATAGCAATTCGTGGATTATAAAGGAAAATTATATATGGAGAAACATAAGTGCCTATATACTGAAGCGACATAGCATAAAAACAAACAAGTATTATAATATCTGTCTATATTTCTGAGATGAGGTATTATGTACACTATTTACATTATTCGGACTAGTGTCCTTATATTTGTTGCCATATTTATTACAACGTTTCGGCCGTTGTGCGCTCCGGCCTCCTTCAGTATCTGACTATATTTCTGAGATGTGTGACGTCCTTGTCGCAGCGCCACCTGTGACGTCCTTTGGTCGCGGCGTCAGCTGCGACGTCCTTAAACGCAGCCTTCGCTCGCTCCTCGCTGCTCCGTTCGGGTGTCGCCGCTCCAAACGTGACGTCCGCCTGTCGCGTCAGTCGTGTTGTCTCGTCCTGTGACGACCAACTGGCTTGGTATCGGTCGCGGCACCCAAATGTGACGTTCTAACCTTTTTGTGATTCGGATGGGAATCTGATTAGATTCGATATCAGCCTCGTCGTTCCCAACTCGCTTCCAACGCCTGGTTACCAAAGTAACTGCACTGATCTCTAGTCTGCCTACCCACGTTGTGAATTGATCTTAGGCGGACGAGATCAATTAGTAGTTGGGGCCGTAATGCAAATCGGGTTCAAACGGGGGTGACACCGCACAAATATGCATAAAAAAAATAAAATGATAACTCAAGGTATCAAAAAAAAGGACAAAAAACTTTATGTCTAGTTGTTGGATACATAGGACTGCGTCTATTTCCCGACCCGTTCTATGGATTGTGACACGTTGTTTTCCGTTAGGCGAGTTTTAACGCTTCAAGTTGTTTGCTCTTTAAGAAATGGGTTTTTTGGTGTGTCTTCGGGCGAAAGTCGAAAAAAAAAAACTTATTTTGGTGGTCTGGATCTAAGTCGCTCTTCAAATTAATTGTTCTTGGATTGAAGAGGAGTCCGGAATTTGCGTGAATCTTTCAAGTCAGCGATCTGCGAGGTGGAACCAACTTCCACTGCGAACTTCGAGCTCTCTGCTGGAACTGGAACTGAAACTCTAACTCGAACTCATTTCTGCTCGCTGCGACTTCGCTTATATGGACGCCGACCAAAACCGGGGTGGGTTTGTCGGCGCCGGGGGGTCCTCGATAATTCTAAATACATATCCACCTCTTTTATTTCTGGTTAGGAATTTTCCACTTTTTTTCCATTTTTGGGAGCCTTCTCTTACTCCCACCTTCTCACCATACTTCGGAGGGGCGTGAACTGCCCTCCCCACTTCTTCGTAGCAACCTCTCATACCCATCCTCTAGATGGGCGGCGACAGCCTCCTCCTTGCGTCACGTGATCACCACTCGACCAATGATGTCTAGTCGGGCGTGTACGATCCCGCGGCTTTGTTTCAGGAAAATAAAAATATCTTGCTTAACAAAAAAAAATAATCTTTTTCTTTTCTCTTTCTTTTAATCGTAGTTATCATTTTCTCTAGCCGCAAACAGAACAATACGATCGATGGTGGTCATAACTCTTGTTCTCACCTGGGTTTCGTCAGTCATCTTATCGCTAATTATCAGAATGGGTGGTCTTTTTGACACGGCCAGACCGTCGTCTCGAAAAGAACATTTCTAGGTTCCCATTCATTTTGTTGGTACATATTTCTGATAACATAGTTTTATTATCGCAGGCTAAAGATGTTCTGTCGAAAGAAATCGGTCAGTGGCCACCTCGTGTGCGGCTTTTGACACAATTAATTTTTCATATCTATCCAAAGCCCTGTAGTCCACCTGTTTTTTAGTCACTTATCAAAATAACATTTTGATTTTTCTTTTTAAGTCGATATGTGGTTTGTCAATGCCTTCCAGCGGTTTGTTTAAAATAACACAGCCCGTCGTCAGAACACACCCGATTCCTTTATCCACTCAGAATTTTTTTCATTGTAGACCTCTTCGCCATTTGACCCTGTATCCATTGTCTCTTAGCCGTGGTGTTCTGTTATCATCCACGGAAAATGGTGCCACAATGAAATTATCTACAATTTACATTATTCCGACTATTGTCCTTTTTATCGCCATTTTAAAACGTTTCGGCCTTTCAATTTCTATATTTCTGAGATGAGGAACAAATTATTCGGACTATTGTCCTCATCTTTGTTGCCATATTTATCACAACGCCATTTGTTCGCTCTTTCTTCAGGTGTTCCGAATGTTGAACTGAATGGATAAAGGCGTTGGTTAGTCAAGTGGCAGTACCCGAATAGGTGAGTTCAATACCCAGTTAAGACAAAGATATTAGAGATGGGAATTAACAGGAGATAACTTTAAAATTAAACATAGCACTTAGAACAGTCTACCCCAGTGAGCGAAATGAACATTCCAACCACCTGAAGAAGGCCGAAACGATACAAAAGACGATAGTCAAATAATGGCGGCAGCCGATAAAATTGGCCAAAAACGAACAACTAATGAAGAAGGCAGCGAAACAAAGACACTTGGACGATAGTCTTAATAATGTGTCAGAGAAAATCAACTAGCATTAATCTATGAAAAAAATTGATCCTTTTATATTTAGTAACCTTCTTTGGTTTAATTTAACTAGGGATTAAACATCCTTTGTAAGAAAGAATGTATGGTTTTCATTACAAGGGGCAGCTCGATACGCGAATTACAAATTGGAGATACCAAAAACGAACAACTCGAAAAATTTTAATATCTGGGAAATATTCTTGTATTATTTTAGAAACATTGTTTTCATGTTATTTGATATAAATGTTACTTGGGACGGTGGAGTATTGGATATAGGAGACATCTAGACATGTGTTTCTGTTATCTAGTTGTCATGACGCCAATCGAAAATAACGGATATCACCGGGACAAAGTATTGTAACACTGTGGGACGCTGGGCCGGATTAGAGGAAAGGTAAATTGTTTTGATAAGTGAATTGTCAAAGAAATAACACGAAATTCGCTAGAACGATGACCAGTGGTGGTTGGAATTAAGAAAAGAAGGAATTGTTTTGCTAAATCGAATTTTGACTTAAAAAATTCACTTTTTTCCTTGAGTAGCCGGTGTGTCAACGGCGAGGCGAAAACAAAGGCATCCACTTGAAATTGCGGTGACCGATTCACGAAATATGAAGGCAAATAACAAAGACACTTGACGACCGTTTTAGAAAATATCCTTTTTAAAGTGATCGTCGGGAATTAAGCCCAAATTGTCTTTTTGAGTGAATTTTGCTGAACAGTTTATAAAAGACCATTTCTTGGACCGGCCAGTTAGGTTCACGGTGAAGCCAAAGACACTGACAGTCATGTTAACACTTCTCGGGCGCAGGCCGACATCCGAACAATTAATTAAAAATATTATTTTTATTTGTTAAAAGTGGCCGTCGGGTGCTGAAGTCGGCCAGGCGTCACTAACAAGCAGAATCGTGACGAGAAGATTTATTTGGTCAAGTGGCTCAGAGGCGGAGCGCCAACAGAGTTCTGGGGAAAAAGGAGGCCTCCCCACATTCGGACGGTTGTAGGAAGCCTTCTGATTGGTCGTTGGGGTATGCTGGCGATCCAGAGAGACACCATGCCCACCCCAGCCCTTTTACTGGGCCCCATAAAATGAGAAGCCGAGGAGAGTTCGACACACTACACACACACGCTCGGAGTCGCAGACCGAAGGGACACGCAGGCAGCTGAACGCTGACAGACAAGACCAATCCTGTTCCCATGTGACCTGTCGTCTGAAAGTAGAAAACCTCCGACTTAGCGCCTTGTTCCAAAGATACTGAAACCAACACCCACCAGTGCGTTACGATAAATCGGGAAGGGGTCGCTAGTTACTGCATGAGAAACATTTGCCTGTTGAACACTCAGTAACATCACTAACCAACTTGTAAGAGTATATAAATATTATTTTCTTTACGTTGCGTTTTATTTCTTTTTCTTGTGACCTTGCTCTGGCCGGTGCATTTTCGGTCTCAGTCGACCATTCGGATCGGGCCTGTCTTACGATCTTTTAACACAACGTGGGGTAGGACGGTGCGTTCGAAGTGATCGGTCACACGATCAGCCGAGGAGACCGGATCCCACCTCGGGAGTTGAGCGGCCTGGGGCCAAGCGTCATAACTGGTGCCGTGACCAGGATAGACCCAGACGTAACCACAAGAAAACGTGAAAATAGAACCAAGAGACATTTGGTCAGGGTTTCTGACCGTACGGTTCTATTAAAAAAAAAAAAAAAAAAAAAAAAAAAACAACCGCACACAGACCAATCCAGAGGCCGCAGCTGACCGCACGGAAAGACAGGTAGGGCACTTTTCGGTTTTCCTTTTCTTCGATCTGTTGCTGGAATTCGCCAGAATTGTTTCTTGTTCTCTTTTGCTTCCACTGATTGACTAGGGACATGAGTAGCCAGGGTCGGAAACATCGGAAGGGTTAGTAGAGGAAGGTGGGATGACGGGACACCGGGGCACAACTAGCCTGAGGGGCCTGTTAGGAGCACCCAGGGTCCCGACCTTCGGGGGAACCCCAGAGAATTAAAAGACTGGCTAGCAACAATAAGGAAGGGCCAGCTCATATATGAGCTATCTGAGAAAGATACACTCTATCTAGCATACAACGCGGCAGTGGGTGGGGTCTCTGAATTCATATATAATTACCTGATGGGGGATGCTGAGTTGACCTGGGCAGAGCTTGAGGATCTGTTGATCCGGGAGTTTGCGGATGAGGCTACCGCAATCGAGGCGATGAGAAGCCTCATGACGCTGACCCAGTGGAAAGGCAGTCCCCCGGAGATTTGGGGAGTCAGGGCCGAAAGATTGGCCTCCCTGGCTTTCACGAACGAGATCAGGGACAACGCCGCCATACAGACCCTGTTGGTGGATCTGTATGGGAGGCGTTGCATAATGAGCGCATCAGGCATGATGCAATCAAGGAGGCTAACCACTCTCTCAGCGGCTATTGCCTTGGCAAAGGATAGCCAGAGGATCTGGGAAAAAGTTAGGGGAAGGGAACAGTAGCGCAGAGTCGGGAGGAGACAGGAATATTGGGGGCAAGAGAACCCCACATGGGACAGGAGGGTCAAGCAGGAGGTCGAGCCCGAAGAATGGGAAGCGACTCCTGGTAGAAAAGGGTGGACGTTGGGACACGGGTTCTACAGGCCCACACCCGGAAGGATGGGGCTAGTATGCTGGACCTGTAATTATGAGGGTCACAGAGCAGTTGACTGCCGACGAAGTGGGGATTACCCCGACCATGACGGGCCGATGTGCACAAGGTGCGGTCGTCAGGGCCATGAAAAAAAATGGTGCGGGTACCGGAAGGCGCCTGACCCCAACGACCCCAAGCGTACCCATACTGACACGAACCAGGGAAACGCCGGTGGGCCGCCCCAAAAGTAGAAGGGAGGGGGTGGCCCAGTTGCGGAGGAAAGAGATGAAGTGTTGGGCGTGTGGTTGGCTCGGGCATTTTTCAAAAAAAATGTCCTGAAAGGAGGTGCTGGTCCTGTGGCCAACCAGGGCACCTGAAGGGAAATTGCCCTCAGGAAAGACGTAGGGAGAAACCTAAAAACGTCTACCAGGGGCACCATGGTGGAACACTAGACAGCGGCGGACCCCCTGTGACAACTGCAGTGATAACTGCTGCCGGCGCCCATGTTTGGGTGGACAGAAAGACAACGCTTCCGAAGGAGAATGGCTGGGGTGTTCTCCTTGCTAACCCAGGGGGAGAGCTGACCTGTAAGGTAATAATAGGTGGGTCGACGGCAAGGGGCCCTGATTGATACGGGGGCATCGGTATCTCTAATATCAGAGGACCGATATAGAAGCCTCAAGAGGAAGGGAAATTAAGAAGGCCTGACATAAAGGTTAGTCAGGCAGATGGAAGGCCCATGGCTATAAGGGGAATAGCAAGGCTGCCGGTAAAAGTGGGAGGGACAGAGAGTGTCCATAGTTTTTACGTAACGCCAGAGTTGTGCGAGGAAGCAATCCTGGGAGAAGATTGGCTTTATCAAAATAAGGCGCACATAAAATTCCACCCCTCTGTGTTGATAATAAATGGCGTAGAGACGCCTTTGGGGGAAAAACACCGAGGAATCGATAACGGTAGTGGCCGACGAAGATTTACGTTACCCCCTAGAACAGCAGTGTCAGGTAAAGGCAGGCTGGCCACGGAAGGAAGTAAGGGGAAAGGAATCGTCCAATTGACGCCGAGGGAGGTGTGCAATCCTGGGAGGACGAGGGTGACTCTGTGCGAGGCAGTGGTGAATAGGGGCAGAGGTGGTGCCTATAATGTTGGTCAATCAGGCCAACAAAACAATTAAGATAGCGAAAGGGGAAGAGGTAGGAAGGGCCTTACCACTGAGGTCCATACGGCGAGTGAGGTTCAATAGAGAAGGAGGAAACGTTCCTGAGAGAACTGGGGAAGTAAGGGACGAGGACATAGTGGCCCCTGAGAAGTTTAGGGGCCAGAATAGGACAACTGTTGAGGGCCAACTGGGGTGTGGTGGCCAATTCAGATGGGGAGTTGGGGCAGACCCAGACGGTCAAAATGAAAATCGACACTGGCAACGAGGCGCCGATCAAGTTGAGGCCCTACAGGACGCCTATACAAAAGACCCTGGTGGAAGAAAGCGGTCAGGGATATGCTAGAATCAGGGATAATAGAGGTCCAAGTCACCCTGGAGTTTTCCCATAGTGGTGGTGGATAAGAAGGATGGTGGACACAGGTTCTGTGTCGATTTTAGAAAACTGAATGCCATTTCAAAGCCTCTGGCGGTGCCCTTGCCCTTGATTGACGATATATTGGCCCTGTTGGGAAGGGCCAAGTGCTTCTCCACCCTTGATTTGAGATCGGGATATTGGCAGGTGGCTTTGGACGAGGCGGATAGAGAGAAGGCCGCATTTGCATGTCACCAGGGCCTGTTCCAGTTCAGGGTGATGCCCTTTGGGCTGGCTAATGCCCCAGGGGTGTTCCAGCAGTTAATGTCGATAGTGCTAGGTGGAATGGAGGATCTGCTATGGCCTATCTGGATGACATCCTGGTGTTTTCCGAAACACCAGAGGAGCATTTTGACCACCTGAAACAAGTCTTGGGCCGACTGAAAGGGCATGGACTAAAGCTGAAACTGTCCAAGTGCCAGTTCCTGAGGGCAGAAACGAAGTACCTCGGGTTTATAATTGGTGGGATGGGATCAGACCTGATCTGGATAAGGTGGAAGTAATCAGGGAAATGCCCGAACCAAAGACGGTTAGGCAGGTGAGGGGCTTTATAGGAGCCATAGGCTACTATAGGCGGTTCATCCCGGCATTCTCCAGGCTGGCAACCCCACTAATAGCATTGACCAAAAAGTATGCTAGGTTCAAGTGGACAGAGGACTGTCAGAGGGCCTTTGACTGCCTGAAGGAGCAGTTAACGGCTATCCCCCTACTGACCTATCCAGACCTTAGCAAGCCCATGGTCCTCTACACGGATGCTAGTGAGCAGTGTATCGGGGCAGTCCTTACCCAACCATGCCCGGACCGGGATGGTCCAGTGCCGGGCATACCGGAGGAAGTGCCAGTATATTTCCTTTCCCACCGGCTCTCAGCGACCCAGCAGAGGTGGCCGGTGATAGAACGAGAGGCATACGCTATCATGTATGCCCTGCAGAAGCTGGATTACTATCTGAGTGGGGCGGTGTTTACTATCAAGACTGACCACAAGTTGCTCCAGTATCTGCTGGAAGCAGAATGGACAAACAAAAAAAATTCAGCAGTGGGCGCTGAAGTTAAGGGGTATAACTGTAGGATAGAATACCTGGCCGGTAAGGACAATACCTGTGCCGACTTGTTATCCAGAATACCCAGAAAACTAGAGGCGGAGTCTGTAAGAGTGGAGCCAGGGGTGGACGATCGAGCTTATCAAATAAGAGTAATTAATTCTCATCGGCTGGGGGACCGTCCTGCACTGGAGACGGACGCTGAAGAGACCCCACCTGTGTTGGCTGACCCTCATTGGATAGAGGAGATCAAGGGGGGCCAGAAGGATGATGAGATAGTTGCACTCAGGGCGAAGGTAGAGGCAGGTGAGACCTCTAAATATGCGATATACGAAGATAAATTATATTACCTATCAGGCAGGGATGAAGAGGTGAGGCCTAGGCTGTATGTGCCTAGGGGCTTGAGGGCTGAGATACTAGAGCAATGCCACGAAAAGCTGGGTCATATGGGAATCGATAAGACCTGTGACCTGGTGGAAGAAACTATTACTGGCCTGGACTGTATGCCGAGGTTACCCGCTACGTTCAGAGCTGTGTGGTATGTCAGGCTCGGAGTAGAGGAAGGAGACAGGCCCCACTAGAGGAGACAGATATCCCAAACTTTCCTTTTTGAAAGGTTAGTATGGATGTGTCGGGGACCGTACGGCGAGACATCCAGGGGCAATCTATATATAGTGAGCTTCGTGGACTGGCTAACGAATTGGCCGGAGGCCTATGCCGTACCAGATAAGAAAGCACAGACAGTTGCAGACCTAGTCGCGAACGAAATATTCCCCAGGTATGGTGCTCCGGTACAACTGGTCACTGACAATGGGCCGGAGAACGTAAATAGGGTGATGGCCGAGACTCTGGAAGGGCTGAATATAATGCATATAACCACTTCCCCTATCACCCCCAGAGAAATGCCAAGGTGGAAAGGTTCCACAGGACCTTGGGGATGTATTGTCTAAATTGGCGAGGGATAACGTTGAAAATTGGGACCTTTATCTGACACAAGCCCTGGCGGCTTTGAGGTTCACTATAGATGAAACCTCCAAGTTCTCGCCTTACTATATGCTATACGGGCGGGATGTGGTCTTGCCAGTAGATAACCTATTAAAACCCCATAGGAAGTATATGGGTGAGGATCACCATCAATTGGTGATTGAGCAGCAGCACAGGTTGTTTACCCAGGCCAGGAGAAGGATAAGAAGAGCCCAAAAGAAAAGAAATGATAGAGTGAACAGAGGAAGGAAGGAGGTGAAGCTAGGGTTGGGGATCCCGTGTTCTACAAGATACCCCAGAGAAAAGGGAAACTGGACCAGAGATGGGAACCCTACTATAGGATAGTAGAACAGACAGGACCAGTGTCATTTCTGATCTGGGATCAGATGGCTGGGCGAGTTAAGAGGGCCCATGCTAATGATCTAAAGTTAGCCGACATGGCTGATTGGGTTACTAGATCGCGAGACAGGGGGCCACGGAAGAGGAGGGTGACCCTTGTAGAGCCTGAGGAAATGGAGACGGACGAAGACTCCGAAGAGGACGAGAGAGGGGAAGTGAACAACAGATAGAAATCCGCAACGATGCGCCAGACGAGGTGGTTCGAGCACCACCATCCCCAAAGAACCTCAAAATGCCGCTGGCTCGGCCTATCGGCGTCACGAGGCTATAGAAAAGGCAACAGGCCCCAGTAGCGAGAACCAGGGTCGGGCCGAAGCCCACCGAAGTTAAGGAAAGGGATGAGTGGGAAGAAGAGGACGAGATACCCCTTCCCAACTCCAAAAACGACTACGGGAGAAGGGAGTAGAGACTGGGCGAGGCGGCGAACTCCAGTCTTGGAAAAGTTAGCGCGCGACAATGCCGGTTCTATGAAGACCCATGCCATGGCTAGCAAGAAGGGTTTGGTTGAGGGGGATAGGGGCGCGGATGGCGCGTCACCGGGGTCGAAATTACTTGCTGGTGCTGTCGTTGGGTCGCACAGGGCCCGTGCGTGTCCGGCGGTAGTATCGGCGGAACACGACCTTTGGGGACGAGAGCGCCGTGCGCCTGTCCAGAATCAATCAACTCACTAAAAAAGTTTAGTAAGAGAGGGATAGGTTAAAGTTGGGAATTGGTTAAAATGAATTGACAGACCAGATCAGAATGGACCGAATTAAGGCAAGAAAAGAGTAAATGGGGAATTTTATTGTCCTTGCAGGGATGGCTGGTATGAAAGGATTGATACCCTGCTGTCGATGATGATGATGATGGATGCCTGGAGACACAGCCAAAATACGATTTTCAAGAAGACCAGTGAAGTTATAATAACCAGATCAAAATGGCTGGTCACGTTCGTGATAGACTTAAATCCCTACGGGGGTGTTATTGGACAAGATGGAGGATGAATTAGCTAAGCTGGGAATGGCAAGAAACAGAGGACCCAGAAATATGCCAGGGACGAGAAATACCTTAGATTACTGGACGCCATAGAGCTAGAAACGGCAGTGTTGGGGGCTCAGTGGAAGGGAATGAAGGATTATCTGAAGGGGGTAGAGCTTTTACAAAACCAGAAAGAAGAGGGCGGTACTTCCTATCATAGGAAAGGCCCTGGGTGTCTTGTTCGGGACAGTGACCGACGACGATATCGAGTCTATAAGAAAGAGACTAGGGGGTAGAAAAGGATCAGAAGGTCCTAGCCCAGGTAGCGAAAGAAAGCGTGTCCATACTGAATGTGACGAGATTAGAGCTAACGGAAAATAGGGTAAGTATCAATAGATTAATAAACGACCTACGAGAATTGAGGCAGGAAATCTATAACCAATCGAGAACGGTGGTAAATGAATTTCAGGCACTAAGTGGCTTCGCACAGCAGTACTTCCAGCTAATAAGCAACGTTAACAAAGTGCGACAAAGCAGCCAGACTCTAACGATTTTGATGGAACATGTAAGAGCACAGCTAGATATGTTATCGCTGGGACACCTGTCCCCGGGAATAGTGACCCCGGGCCATCTGAGAGTTATTATTAAAAATACAGGCAGAGTTGCCCCACCACTTAAGGTTACCGGTGAGTCCCGACGAAGATTTATGGAAATACTACAATGCATTGGGTTGTGTCACATTATTAGAGAATAAGAAGCTATTGGTCCTGATGTCCATTCCCCTCCTGGACAGGAAAGCATATTTGAAGTATATCAAGAAGTTAATTTACCCATCCCCACCCCCCAAGCGACGCAGGGTTTGGAGGCGGTGGCCACTTACCGAATCGAAACAGAGATATAGCAATGAACTCCGCTAGGACGAAGTTTATGCTGCTTACAGCCAGAGAGGCGAGGGAGTGTCAAGTAGACGCGTTAGGCACGTGTACATCGTCAAGTCCCATCTATGTCACGGGTAATCACAAGCTATGTGTACTGGAGTTATTCAGAGGAGATAATAAGCGGATTAGGGAGAGCTGTCAGGTAGAGATACTGACGGACGCTGTACTACCCCAGGCTATTAGTATCTCCGACGGGGTCTGGGCAGTTGCTACCCAGAGGCCAATCGATCTGTCTAAAGTATGTGGGGAAGAGCCCACTAGGACCCTGAAGGTAAGCCCTCCATTGTCTCTAATTGAGCTGCCGTTGGGATGTTCGGCCTTTGGAGTGTCCATTTCGCTTCCTCCATATTATCAAGCAGAAGAGAAGTATGAGGAGCGGGACTCACTGATAGAGACAGTAATGAAAAGCCTAAGCAATTGGACGGATCTATGGGAACCAGTGACAGGCAACCTCACTGAGACCACTCTAAGGAAAATGACCAAGCTATTAGAGCCTATAGACAGAATTAGTTTAGACCAGTTAAAGGTAAAGCTAAATACCATAGGAGAGAGTACGGTCGGGGAGAGGGGTAAGCAGACCATATTACACTGGTCGGTATCGTTAGGTACCCTGATGACTATTGCTGTCATAGTAATGATTGTGTGGAAGCTGAAGAGATATAGGGATAAATCGGTTGATGGTGTTCTGGCGAGTCCGCGGCGGCTCGAGGAGGGAGAGTCGTACAGTGTTCTTTCAAACAGGTCGAACCAAGATGGAAAAGAAACCCAGTTGGATTCAGCAGAAAAGATGAATCCAGAGCCGGCATCCATCAACGAGAGACAAAATCCTCCCATTGGGGAGAAGAGAAAGGTGACCAAGCAGGCCAGACCATGAAAAAAGAAGAGAGAGATAATTTTTTTGTAAGAGGTGCTGCGAGCCTCCATATATACACAATGCATGAAAGAAAGAAAAAAAAAAAAAGAGATAATTTTTTTTTTGAGTTTTTCTTTTTTTTAGGGGTGCTGTGCACCCCACCCCTACCACGCATGTTAAAACAGAAGAAGAGAAAAGACATTTGAAACATTGCATGTTAAAACAGAAGAAGAGAAAAGACATTTGAAACATTGCATGTTAAAACAGAAGAAGAGAAAAGACATTTGAAACATTGCATGTTAAAACAGAAGAAGGGAAAAGACATTTGAAACAGTGCATATTAACACAAAAGAAAGGATTTTTTTTTGCATGCTAAACAGGCTTACGTTAATTTAGGAGGGTATTTGTATGTCGTTTACAGGTAAAAGACATGATAGGTAAGGGAGAGATGTAACACTGTGGGACGCTGGGCCGGATTAGAGGAAAGGTAAATTGTTTTGATAAGTGAATTGTCAAAGAAATAACACGAAATTCGCTAGAACGATGACCAGTGGTGGTTGGAATTAAGAAAAAGAAGGAATTGTTTTGCAAATCGAATTTTGACTTGAACAAAAATTCACCGAGTGCCATTTCCTTGGAGTAGCCGGGTGTGTCAACGGCGAGGCGAAACAAAGGCACTTTTTAAAACCACTTGACAATTGCGGTGACCGATTCACGAAATATGAAAGGCAGCGAAAACAAAGACACTTGACGACCGTGTCAACAACTAATTAGAAAATATCCTTTTTCTTTTCTAAAGTGATCGTCGGGAATTAAGATTTACCCAAATTGTCTTTTTTGAGTGAATTTTGGCTAGAACAGGATTTATAAAGTACCATTTCCTTGGACCGGCCAGTTAGGTTCACGGTGAAGCGAAAAAAGACACTTGACAGTCATGTTAACACTTCTCGGGCGCAGGCCGACATCCGAACAATTAATTAAGAAATATTATTTTATTTGTTAAAAGTGGCCGTCGGGTGCTGGAAGTTGAGATCTACTCAAAGGCCAGTGTGAGCTTCGTCACTAACAAGCAGAATCGTGACGAGAAGATTTATTTGGTCAAGTGGCTCAGAGAGGCGGAGCGCCAACAGAGTTCTGGGGAACAAGGAGGCCTCCCCCCACATTCGGACGGTGGTAGGAGGCCTTCTGATTGGTCGTTGGGGTATGCTGGCGATCCAGAGAGACACCATGCCCACCCCAGCCCTTTTACTGGGCCCCATAAAATGAGAAGCCGAGGAGAGTTCGACACTCACACACACACACGCTCGAGTCGCAGACCGAAGGGACACGCAGGCAGCTGAACGCTGACAGACAAGACCAATCCTGTTCCCATGTGACCTGTCGTCTGAAAGTAGAAAACCTCCGACTTAGCGCCTTGTTCCAAAGATACTGAAACCAACACCCACCAGTGCGTTACGATAAATCGGGAAGGGTCGCTAGTTACTGCATGAGAAACATTTGCCTGTTGAACACTCAGTAACATCACTAACCAACTTGTAAGAGTATATAAATATTTTTTTACGCAAGTTTTTTACGCAAGTTCGACCATTTCGCGTTTTATTTCGGTCACACTTTTTACGGCCCGGGGCCAAGCGTCTAGTATCATATTAATGAAAAATATCTCGTATCACCCAATTACTGAAACCCGATGACGACAGAGATCGTTGTCGAAATTATATCTATAACGACATCTGTATCAACCGGTGAGGAGAACAGTTTGAAAATAATACAAGGACAATTCCTCATCTCAGAAATTAAATAAAAAAAGATTATTGACCAATTTTATAACAAACTGGCCGGTCTAACGATATTCGGTCTCAGTCGACCATTCGGATCGGGCCTGTCTTACGATCTTTTAACAACGTGGGGTAGGACATCGAAGTGATCAGTCACGATCATCCCGATCCCACCTCGGATTGAGCCGGCCCAAATAAGCGTCATAGTATCATATTAATGAAATATAAATCACCCAATTACTGGAAACCCGATGACGACAGAGATCGTTGTCGAAATTATGTCTATAACGACATCTGTATCAACCAAGGTGAGGAGAACAGTTTGAAAATAATACAAGAATTTTGACAATTCCTCATCTCAGAAATTAAATACTAAAATCTGGGAAATTTTATAACAAACTAGCAATAGAGCCCGGCGTTGCCCGGGGATGTAACAGTAAGAGATAGATCAAGTATCGACCATCATAAAGACTGAAAAATAAAATTGAAAAAGATTATTGTTTAAGGTTGATGGACACGCATGTCGTAATTAGTTTTTTTTGTTTTTTTGTTTTTTTTTACGAATTGGTCAAATCCAAACTCAAACAAAAACATTGTTTTCAATCGTTATGAGTCTATCGATTGAATAGAATGTTAATATAAACAATTGCCTTGTAAATGGAATTTTTAAAGCATTCTGAATGTAAAAATAAAGTAAAAAGTGTGCAAGACAATAAGAAACACTAAATACCAAAAAAAGTGAAGTTTTGTTGAAATTGGTTGAAAAATGTAGGAAATCCGATCCCATATATAAGTGAACACACACACACACAAACAACCTGGGTTTTATAATAAGTATAACTCGATATGAGTTGTCCCCCTTTCATTCTGGCGACAGAATCGTGTTTTCAAATTGATTTCGTGCAAAAGAATTGTTTTTTTTTTTTTGGGCGCTGTCAGAACCACCGCAAGTTAATTTTATGTAGTCATGTGAAGTTTTGTTGAAATCTGTTGAAAAATGTAGGAAATCCGATATAATATATAAATGTACAGACACATACACACACACACACATACACAATCTGCGTTTTATTATAAGTAAGATGAGAGCGATATTTTAAGGTTTATTGGAACAACGTGAGATGCCTACCAAATGCTAACCAATTTATTGAAATACACAAAAAAGGAAAACCCAGAAAATGGTTGAATTATTATGTAATATATCCTCTTCTATACGACAGTGAAGGCCAGTCACCTTACTCGGTTGATGTAGTTCTAAAGAATAATGTTACTTGGGTCGGTGGTCTAGTGAATATAGGAGTTGGCTACACATGTTTTTCGTCAATTATTTTAAAGAAAAAATCTGATAACTTTTTTTTTGTGAACGATTGTTTACAAAAAAATATCCTAGCTGCAATGGATAATTTTAAAATTTAAAAATAATTATAACATAAAAATCCGTGTTTCCAAAAAGTTGTCGTTTTGGCTGTGAATGGAAGTTGGCAAAAGCATTACAAAAAAATGTTACAAATTTAAAAATTTCTCTTCATCCGTAATTCAAAAAAGGTCATCAAAATTATCTCCTCGCACTCCTAGATGAATTGTAACTATGGCAAAGACCTTATAATCATCCCAGGAAGAGATAGAAAATAATGGGGAAATAAAAGCGATTTTCACTGTTACAGTGCATTTTCTTGTATCATTTGATTGTAATATAGGAAATATGTTCGTGAATATAAAAGGATTATGATAAAAATAAGAAGACATAATGTTTGTAATTTATTTAATCATATATATATATATATATATATATATATATATATATATATATATATATATATTGATTTAAATAAACATAATTTTATGTTCTTTTTTTTTAAATATCCGGACTTAGGCAGCCGAGGTCCGGATATTTAAAAAAAAAATTAACATGAAATTTTGTTTATTTAAATCAATATATATACGAGGCACAGTGGAGTAGTGGATATATATATATATATATATATATATATATATATATATATATATATATATATATATGTGTGTGTGTGTGTGTGTGTGTGTGTGTGTGTGTGTGTGTAATTATATAGAAATATAGGAAAGAACCATTAGGTTAATAAACCGAAGTTATTTGCTATTTTTGTTTTTATTTTTAAAAAGACAGTGCTCAATACAAAAATAGAGCCTAAATTATAATTATTTTTTAAAAATATGATTCCATCGTTACATAAGAGTTATCATGTTTCAAAAACAGTAGCTAAAAAAAAAACACTGTTTCATTCTCAAGCAATTTTGGATGAAACAGAGCTGTTTTTTAGCTTCTGTTTGTGAAGCATGATAACTCTTATGTAACGATGGAATCATATTTTAACACACACACACACACACACACACACACACACACACACATATATATATATATATATATATATATATATATATATATATATATATATGAGCGAGACGAGGGATGGTGGAATAGTGGATTGAGCAATAGGAGAGCCAAGTTCAAATTCCAGTGGAATCCATTGCATTCATTTATGTGCTAATACCTCCTCCCATCAGATGTGAGTAAACAGACTGGGTTCTATAGCAACTGGTCTAAGAAGGACAGCTCTGAATTCAGAACCTGCAGATTTTTGTTTGGGGGACATTGTATTCGACCATTGCTGCTTCTGCACAAACCTTCACCACTATTATCAAATCATATGTGCTGTCGGTTCCTAAGTACACTTATACATCGAATACGACAGGAGAGTCAATATATATATATATATATATATATATATATATATATATATCGACAATTGTTTATTGTTTATCTCAGAAATTAAATACTAAAATGCGTGATAAAGCTTAGGCAATCATGTATCTTTCGATACATGACTGACGTGGCAGATTTTTTTCCCCGCAGTAGCTTACCATTTCGTTCTACAGTAGACCAGTTGCCATACAAGGCTATAGAAATGCTGTCCGTCTTGCTAATTACTCACGGCTGGCGGGGTTTTGGAGGCATACCTTTCCCAAGGGTATTAGCACGTAAAGATTCGACTAGAATTCGAACTCAGCTTTCATATTCCTTAATCCGTGATGCTATTCATTACTCTACCGTTCCTCTTTTATGACAGACGGATTAATATGTTAGCGATATTTTAAGGTTTATTGGAACAGCGGAAGATGCCTAAAAAATGTTAACCAATGTATTAAAACACGTAAAAAGGAAGAAAAAGCAAAGACAAGTGTTGAATTACTACGTGATATTGGTCCTTCTATACGGCAATGAGTCCCGATCAGCGTTCATACATATAAAGAAGAAATTTAAGGCAACAGAGATGTGGTTCTAAAGAATAATTCTGAGAAAATCTTAGACAGAGAATGTAAGAAACGAGAAAATTTTCAGAAAATGGAAAAGAAAGGACCCTTTTTTATCATTTTGCCCCCAGTCAAGGTGGGAACGCCACTAGTGCGAAGTGCGGGGGGGGGATACAAGGAGTAAAAGTGAAAGAGAAGACGAATAATAAAAAGTATCTAGGAAGGGACAAAATTTTGGTTTGGTTTTCTTTGCTTTGTTTTATTTTACGGCATATCAACAACTCAATGGGTTATTTAATGCCGACAAGATTTTTATTGCTGGTAATATTTTTTTCCGAAATTTATTACTGGTAATATTTTTTAAAAACTTATTTTTATTCTTTCATAGTGTTTTGATCCCCTGGAGGTTTAATTATTTGCCCATAGCTGGGACCCTGACAGGTGCTACTACCTCGGCTCAGCAATTAAGGTGTAGTTCTATGCTCCTCAAAACCTTCTGATCAGAGGCCTTGCTCTCGGGTGTAGTTTAACGTCTTACCCAGGACGCGGATGTAGTCTATCGTCATACCCAGGACGAGGATGCAGTTTATCGTCATACCCAGGACGGAAATGAGTTCAAAAGCTGGTAAGTGCGTGTAAAGCAACTGTTAGAGTAAAAGTGGCGGTTGCATTTAACTATATTAACAGTAAAAGTGGGGGATCTAGATGCCAATCTAGTAGCACGTTTAAAATAGCGTATTTAGGGCTCCAGGGGAAAAAAAGCTCGTTAGAACAGTTTGTAGAAAATTCAGAGGGAAACCACGTCTCGTCGGGGGGAAAGTGGCTGAAGTCGAGATTCTAGGTCAGGATCGATTATATTACAGATCGTTCTTGGAATTTAATCAAGAACTTCTAGATGAAAAGCAGAGACACCAGACCAGATATGACAACAGTATTTAATGCACGATGGAATGGCAGATTTGTAAATGTGAAAGATGGATTCTGACGAGAAAAATCTTCTGTTACGATACAATGACCCAACTTTCCTAGCAGTAGATGCAGCTATTAATACGATGTAGTCTCTCTACTTCATGTTAGTGGAAAACGTAAGGCCAAGAAAGCGTAATCTGTTGCTCTTCTGGAGTCTAACGTCAGTTATGGTGATATAATCAGAATCAGGAGTGGTTTTTGTCCGGTGTAAAGCATATTAATTA